CGTTTTCATCTCCAATGAAGATTTCCCTCCATTCCAAATTTGTATATCCAACTGCCTTTCTGATGTTTCTCCTTGGTATCTAATAGTCATCTCAAACCATCACACTCAATACTTCAGTCACAACCTCTGCCTCCAAACCTGTTCTACCTGTAATCTTTGCTACCTCAGATCGTGGACTCTGTGTTTCTCCAGTTGTTCAGGCCACAGGACTTGCCTTTACCTTTAATACATCACTTCCTTTCGCTCACCATTTCTAATCCATTAGGAAATCTTCCACCTTTGCAACAGACAGGCAAAAGGAGAGTGAGAAACAAGGGTAGTGCTAACATGAGCCAAGACGAGAAGAATGGTGTATATGAAAGTCACAAAGGAAAAATGTTACTGGGACCAATGGTCTCTACTTGGAAATAATAATAAGGATCCACAGGGAACAGAGTAAGTTCAAGTCGTGAAGTTACCAAAGACAGGCAAAATGAGCCTGAGGTGGTCAAGTCCCTAAATCTTGGAATGTGTATGTGTGCTAAGTCATGTCCAACTCTGCGACCCCGTGGACTGTAGCCCGCCAGGCTCCTCTCTCCATGGGATTCTCCAGGCAAGAATACTGGAGTGGGTTGCCATTTCCTATTTCAGGGGATCTTCCTGACCCAGGGATCAAACCCACGTCTCTTGCATCTCCTGCATTGGTAGGTGGATTCTTTACCACTGCACCATGTGGGAAGCCCATGAAAAGTTCCCCCCTTCCCACCCACTCAGCCATTCTCCTTGCTCCCCCACCCGACCCTCACCAATGCTGAAGAAAACCAGTATCACAGGGAGAAAGTACCATAGTTTGGAAGGGAGAAAATGAAACTTCAAGAGAACAACTTAAATTTTATGCACCAACTTGGAGACTTCAAATTTCAAATCAATACGTCCAAATTTACTGTCTTGTCACATAGCTTTTACTTATCAAGAAATTTTTCTCTCCTGGGACCTTTCCAAATCCCCATCATCTTCTGAGGTTTCCTGTGCACTTCATATTGTACACTGAAGACATGAATTTGACCTGACTTTATCAGAAGTTCCAAAGTTTCTCCACATGGAAAAACACCTCATTCTTACCTTACACCCAGTGACTATAACCAGTTTCCACAACTCTTTCCAATTCAAGAATTCGACATCCTAGAGCTATTTTAAAATCCTTATTTTGGTAACCTTATTAATTTATATAATGGCAATGTCAGGGCTTAAAATCTTTCAGGGAAGTAATGATCAGGATATTTATCTACTATTGATTCTCAAATATTAAATGCGAATGTATGTATAAAGAAATCTATCATTTGAAATATTATGGTTCTGAAAATAAGTTGAAGGAAAGTTCAACTCCTTGGAGATAGTACAACATAAACAGAGCAATTTTGAAGACTTCTACTGTGGCAGCAATACCATAATGGTTAAGAGTGCAGATCTTGGAATAAAAAAGTAAATTTTAAACTAATGTGAATTTAAGCAAATGACTTTTATTTTCCTCCTGCAAAATGGGAGGTAAATGTGATTATAAAAGGGCAACAATGAGAGATCCTTGTGGTGATGGAATTGTTTTATGGGTAGAACTGAGTGAAGGGTATACAAGACCCCCGGATTATTACTTACAACATCATGGGAATCTATGATTATCTCCAAATAAAAGGTTTAAAGAAGTCACTCACAAATGTTGCATTAAATTTTATATTAATTTCTAAGTCATCCTAGGCAATTACATGTTTTAATTTTCTAAGTGAAATAAAGTGAGATTTCAAATTACTTCAAATTTAACAATGATATAACCAGAAGATGGCGCTATTACTTCATGAATATACCACATCACAGAACTAGTCACTGCCATAAAAATAAAACACTAGGACCATATGGATCAAAATTGTAAATGCAACTATAAACTGCATTGAATGCTGTAAATTCAGCAGTATTAATACATGCCTTAAATGAGGTTTGACAAAAATGTGATTTTCATAAGTCATTAAAAAAATAAACAACACATACAAATAATCAATTCTAGACCCGCTTAACAGGGAAGTTTGCATATGGCAAATACAAACCCATCTAAGCGAGTTTACAGCCATGTCCTGTGTGAAATGTCAAACCCCTCATAACAAGGAAGACTGTTATGAAATATGGTACTAAGCTGTTACATTATTCCATTTTTATATGAACATTTCCTGCCTCACTGTTAGAAATCTTGATACAGACATAAGTACGACTTTAACTAGAAGTAAAAAGATGAGTGAGAAAGGGATCTCTTTTTTTCTTTTTTGTAAAAATAACGAAGTTTAGAACTTTCTCATTTTTAAAATTAAGAACATTTAAAACACTTTTCAGAGAAAGAAATTAAGTTGCGCCAGTCAATATATCCTTATCCAGTTTCATTATTATTAGATGCTGGATACACAGCAAAGGTGTACTATTTGTTACTAGTAGCAGGTTTGCGAGAAGCAGCTTCTAACACTTAATGGGGTGTTTTTACGAGTCGTGTCCACAGCCCGCGTGTGGATCAGCACATCCTCTGCACTCATTTTTAGTCATCTCACACCCATCTAACTAACAACCAAGCAATACAAGTGCAGCCCAGATGATTCAAATGATGCTCTGAACCCAACACAGTTAATATTGCCTTTGAGAACATGTTTTCTAATTAAGCAAAAATAAGCTCATTTCCCCCAAAACACTCATCTTTCCTTGCACAATTTCTTATCAAGTTATGCCTTTCCAAGGCTACCAACTAATTAGCCTGTTCTTAAACATGTAAATTCACATCAATTAATGAAACATATTTTGTATTCATTTTATTTCTTTGTTTACACAAGAACTGAATCATTCCTGAGAAATAAGTTAGAATTAATTCTGAGTTTATTTTGAAGCATTACAGTGTTTAACCAGTTTGATGTATAAAGATACCAGACATAAAAGTAAACATCAGGAAGCACACATATATCCCCATTCTGAGGGAAGACATGTTATATATACAGAAAAAATGCAGCAAGGTATTCAAAGTAATTCTTTGACAATTCGGATGTGGACATATTTACAAGAAAAGTGTATGTTTTAAAATAATTAAATAATTTTCATAGTATTATAAAAGTATTGAGATAAATATTAGAAGACCCTGACAATCACAAGAACATTTTCCTATGCTATTGAATGCAAGGGTAGTTCTATAAAAAGTCCCAAAATAGAGCTAATATTTTGCCACTATGAAATATATCAAATTACCAATACCAAAATATTAAAATGAACATGCAGTGTGGAAGCTGTACCAAAGAAAACAGCATTAGGCTCCTGAATATTCAGCTCCTGAGTATCACCAACTGTCTGCACAAGATTTCTTAGGTGTGCTCATGAGAAAAGAGCTTTCTAAAAGAGCCAACGAAATGGATGCATCTACAGAGAAAATAACAACTTAAAACCTTTTCATTCTATCATTTTCAAATGTAGCTGCAAAAAACAAGAAAAATCTAAATGTAAGTTTCAAAAATAATAGCTTATGAATAAAAATGTTGAGTGGTGCATTCTTTATGCATTTGGATTTTTAAACTGATGCTATGATAATTCTAGTGTAACAGATAATAACCTCTGGACTCCACTCTGATTTAAGAAATCCACTCCCACTTTCTCGCTCTCAAACAAAAAGTCATCTGAGAAAATGAAAAGGAGAAACAGTGACATGTATGAATTCAAAACAAAACAGTACTGTAATATGGCAAAATATCACAAAAAATAGCAGCATATGAAATTCAAGACTATTTTCTTAAAGCAAATGTTTAAGACTGAACCGTAGAAACAGTACTTGGTCAAACTGGTCTATTATTCAACACCTGAAACTAACGACATTTTTGAGAGAAACTTGTATTTTTGACATCCCCGTGATTAAATGTATACTCCAATTTGTGCTTAAAACATGTATTGCACAGATAGTAGAATAACAACATTCTGGTATCTCTAACACAAAATGGTATGCTATTTAACACATTAACTTATGCTACTAAAAATTAATTTTATCCCAATTGTTTAAAACCAATCACATAGGACTTTTGAGCACATTAATCTCAAAACATTCCTAAACAAGATGAACAAATACAGGTTACTAGTGACAAAAAGCAGAGGCTACAACCACATGACTAAGGGCAGTATCTTTACATATAAACGAGGTCTTCCACTGATTCAAATATAGAACTATTTACAAAATTTTGAAAAGAAAATCAGACCTCCAAGAAATTTCATACCAAATAATTTTCACTGAATAAAAGCAATGACTGTGCTGCACATCTTGACTAAGATTTTACAAACAAATGTCCAAGATATACCTGTCTGAATTCTAATTCTCCCCTTTTCTCCAACAGTACAACCCACAACCCTCACTAACAGTTCAATAATACCCTCTAATCAAAATGCACTGCTCACCTTGAGATCCAGAGCATCAAAAATGGTTATCGTTTCAAAACTGTCCACACTGTAGTATAAATTTTACAGCACCACAGACGTCATGAGTTTAGACATCTTTGTCTGACAATATTTCAATCAATAATATTAACCAGTAAGAATGTGTAGAGACTGAACATCTAATAGGAAGTCACAGTAGCATTTTTAAACAACCAAAGTAATTAATAAGCATTTTTCATGTTTTAAATTGTGAAGCGGTTAAATTGTCAAATTCACTAGGAAAAAGTGTCTCACACACACACACACACACACACACACACACACACACACACACGTTTTTATTATCCCAATGAGAACAAAGCTTCAGACAGTTGATACTAACAGGGCTTTTTTCTTTCTTTTAATGAAATTACATTTAGTTTGGCCACTTGCTAGCTCCTTGGCTTACCAGCTTATAAAGAGGACAGCGACGAGGCAGGATACTCTATGCATTAAAACCCACTTCCCCTTTATCATCTTTGGCGAAAAGCCTTGTGAAAAGGACACCGCGGGCTGATGAGGCGGGTCAGGCTCCACGAGCTTCCACCTCACACGTCACTGACTGGAAGGCTTGCGTCATCCAAGTCCACGGGGTCACAATCTTGTTCCTGAGGGCCATTTTTACTTCGAGGTTTTAGCAGAGCTTGTTCAGTCACTTTGGAAGCTGGTTCTCTTGGAGAGACAGTCTGGACCTTGAAGTTCCCTGGCTTGACCTTGGCAAGAGATTCGTAAAATCCTCGCTTCTCCATGGGAAAGCTTGAGACCAAAGAGTTGCTGCGAGAGGCTGCGGAATGTGGGGTGGCTGCTGCGGCACTGGCAGAGCGGAGAGCGTGTTTGGGCTCGGAAGGACTGTTGGAATGCTCCTGCAAAGAGGAGTGGTGGTCAGACACAGGCAATCAATAACGACAGGGTTAGTAACTCAGTGTGAGACCTTATTCTCTGAAAAACAAACAGAACAAGACACACACGGAGCAGAAGCATGAGCCATGCAGCGTACGTGTGCAAGTTCTTTCCCGAAGCAGTGCATTTTTAGGAGTGAGTTTAGAGCAATGACAGCCAACAACCATCTCCACTAAGAAACCAGTTCTGTCACCAAAGTCAAATCTGGCAGCTCTGACACTAAAGGCTCAGTCAGCCTAGACTGGAATGCAGTGTACCAACTGCAACTGAACTGTGTTTAACAGGGGGCCTACCAGCTTTACCATTTTTACTTAAGAGTTTATTCTCAATAAACAGTAGGAATTAACCCATATGTTTTAGAAAGATTAAACAATGAAAATGTAGAATATAAAAATAAAAGGCAATTATTTCTTTAATAAGCAGAATTAAACATTTTTCAAACCTATTATTTTGTCTGGTAGCCTCATAAACTTAGTTTTTGCTTCCCTGAATTTCACCTACAACCAATAATATCATAGTCCTTTTGTTTCTTATTTAACTGCATTTATTTATTTTTGCACATGGCACATATTCACATGGCTTGACACTTTAAAGACAGCAAAGGATATATACTTAAGCATTTATTAAAACTGTCATAAAATAATTTCAGTTGTAAATATTCATTTCAATATGCTTCTGACTAAATCAAATCTGAAGTTAACCTTAAATATGACCATACTAAATGCACTGCCATATAGTTCCTAATTTATTGTGTTTATTTGTGACATTGGTGGCTTTGAAAACAAAGTGCTACAACAAACCACCGAAACACTACAGATTTCCATTAGTCGGCTAAATTTCACCTAAGAGCTAATATGCCATGCAAACTACAGTAATGTAGAGTTTATCCAATGCATGTGCACCTGTGAGTTTGTACATATTACCACAAAGGTGCATTTCAAGTAGTGTAGTATAAAAGAATTCCCAAATACATTAAATACAGAAATTGAAATTCTTGTGACAACTCAGGAAATTAAGCTTTAGAAAATAGACAGGGCTTTTTAAATTAGTAAAGTTCTATTTTTTTTCATTATTTTTTTAATAGACATATCCAACCTGATGACTGTAGTGAAATAGTTTGCGTTAGTGTTGACAAAGTCAGTTATGATAACTGCAGAAGGCAGTTTGGTTAACTCAACTTTCTAGAATCAGCTGTGAGTAGTGAGTAAGTCCGGCCCTCTAGTAAGAAGGCCTGTGTGCGTGAGAGCCCACATACGTGCTGCATTCCCCAGTTCTTGACGTATACCTCTGTATACAAGGGTTCGACAGCCTTCTGGCCTGCCGCATCTGGAACACAGTGCAAAGCTAAGATTAGAGTTAACCTATCCTGGGGAGGGGAGGAAAAGAGACAGTTCTGCTGACAGTTAGAGCCAGAGAGTCCACTTTGCCCCCACCACAAAGCACAAAACACAAACACCCTTCTCCAGCTTTTCCTCTTCCCAACAGATATTGTTTTTGCAGAGAGTCTCATACTTGACCGCTGAAAAGGTCACATAAAACACAGGTGGTTACAAAATTAACACCTCTAAAAATAATTTCTGAGCTATTCCAAAAAGGATATAAGAAGAATAACTTTAAAAGTGAAAAAAGATTGATTTTTTTTTGTATTTACTGACCTAGATCATTTCTAACAAGAAAAGATTAAAAGACAGCATTACTGCAATACTAGCAGTGCAGGAAAATACTAGAAGTGCAGAATATCATCATCGATGATGAGTCTCGGTAATAAAGGCTATCATGCTCTGTATTAGGGTTAGACTACCTTCTGTAGACAAATATACTGCATTTTAAGATGCTTGAAAGTTTTTCATTCCTTAGTAGATTTGTATTTTCAGATCAGAGATCAGTGACCAAAGGATCCTAAAGCTAAATCTTATTCTTATGATGTACATGGTAAATTAAAAAGCAAAAACATATTCCTTACTGAGAATGTTTAGCTGGTTTAATTATACTACCATAAAGATAATTAACATAGTGAAAAGCAGCCTTTTAAATTAACCAAGTGAAAAATGAGAATGAAATGGAAAGAGAACATTATATTTAAGGTTCAAGCTGCTCAACTGTCTTATGGCACTATTGAGGCAAAAAACCTAAACTGAAATTACAGGAAGTTAAAAAGGAAACTTCACGAAATTGTATAATGCTACAACTAAAGGTGCCTTAAGTGATTAGGTCAAATACCACACTAAGAATTGGTAAAATTATACCAAATCTGGACCTACTGACAAGAACTCCTAAAACAAAACGAGGAAACGCTCATTCTTTAGTTGCCCTGCTTGTGCATTTAGGACAATACAATGCACAGAAAAGTTATGTGTACATAACACTATAGGAAGCATTAAATTAGAAATGCATTATTTTTTTTTTTGCAAGTCCAATCGGTATGAAAGTCAACATGCAGATAAATCTCAAAACAGAAAGAAATCAAAAGGATTAGGGGGAGAGGAAGAAAAATAACTTGACAGGATCGGGGATCCAAGGGAGTATCACCCCAAAGAAGAGGAAACATACAGAAGACGCTGATCTGCCGGGTCCCCGCTGTGCTACAATGGCACCCGAGACTGCTTTAATCCAACTGTGCATCTCTTCAGGGCTATCAGCCTAAGGGGAAGGAAGGATTCATTCAAGTTTTCCTCAAAATCAGCTCTTCTGTCTATAAATCCAATGTGTTCATCTTGGTAATTAACATAATGTCAACAACAAAATCAGCCCAAGGCAATGGTTTCTAAGAAATTTTAGAAATCACTTTTTTAAACCAGGTTTTGCCCGGTAAATGATAACACATAGAAATAAGTTGGGCACTTAATGTTCTAAAATAAGACACGTCAAAAAGTGTCAACTTGAACAGTTTTGGAGAGAAAAGAAGAAGAGGAGGAAGTCAAAGACCTTCTCATTTTGCTCTCCAATTGTTACACTTGTCTAAATTTTCAAGGTGGACATTTATGTAATTGTGCAGTAAAAAAAAACCACTGTGACATCATTTTATGTTATTTTTCTAAAAACAATTTCTAATTGAACCCTAAAATCCTAAAAGCGGTATTAGCAGTATATGCCAAAGCAGGCTCTTCCTTGATAGGACTGTGGCTTCCAATGTGCATTAAAAACCTTCCGATGACTTCAATTAAACAAGGCCTTCAGAGGGGTGGCGAGGTAGGGCCCCTTCTAGATTAAGTTTAAAAATTTTAAAGACACAAGTAATACTTTTGAACCAATGATAATAACAAAGAGTTTTTAAAAGGAAAAACTCAAAGCAGGCTGAGGTCGAGTATACTTTCGTTCACTACAAACAGGAGCACCAGTCTAGAAATCAATTTGGTAAAAGATAGGTTTTAAAAAGCTCATGCTCTAATAGTTATTCCTGATCTAGAAACTGATCAGAAGCAAGTAAGAAATCCAGACAAATTTATTCACAAAATGTTCACTAACATGTTATACCACAGTAAATGTACAAAAACTGTTAATGAATGATAGGTAACAGTACAGAAATAGTTTAATTGTAAAACACTCATATAAGAGAGCATAGTTCTAAAAGGCTTTCAGAGAATTCTTAATGACATGGGGAAAAGTAACCATAATATAGTAAATAAATAGGATATAACACTATATTTCATATGATCCCACTTGGTATAAAAACATATATCCTAATAAAAACAAACAAACAAAAGAACAGCTGCCTGAATGTAGAATTCCATGTTTTATAAAGCACCTTTCTCCTCATATTTCTGTATTTTTCTACATTTTCTGCAAAAAGCATATGTAATAACTTTTAAAAACAAAACTAAATGTTCTTATAAAAAAAACTTTTAAGTAAATTAATGTGTTAAATAAAAAGTGTATTTTAAACTTAAATATAGGATACCTATCCACCATTAGTGAAATAAGATCTACTATTTACTTTTATTATGGATATTTTTATGGATATTTGAGTCCCCCTTTTTAGAAAATTACCAAAAAGTGATATAATTGAAATTCCAAAATATGTGCAAAAATAATCCAAATTGGAAATACCCACTTAGCATCTAAACAGCACATTTCCCTTCTTCCATATAAAACTTAATTCTATTCAATTTACTTATAGCAAAGAATATCGCTTTGCTGAACATATGACCTACCAATAATCTTAGATAGAGCATCTTTTTTATTAAGTTGGCAGTTATGCTTGTCATATTTTTGCTTTTATGAGCAACACATTTATTTATGCCTATTTCACCTCTAAAATTATTAATTCCTTGCTAGGAGGATCTATAATCTCAAAAGAAGTATCTTACCTGCACATAGAAAGTTCGAGACGATGTTACAATTTCAAAGAGGTTGTCTCTCATCATTATGTCACTGTTAACAAAACAAAACAAATTTTCCAATTGTACTCAAGTAGCAATTGTTTGACAGTATTCTTTTCACTTATTTACCCAGTACCAAATAGGTGTCAATAAATATTAAAGGTAAAATATTAATTTAATTGAGAAATACCAAAATTATCATTTTTCAATTTATTCTTGCATTGAATTCTACATATTTTATACAGTTATATGTATTTTTAGAAAGGTGCAAAAACAACTTTAAAATCCAAAGTTTTCAACTGTGAAGAAAGAGTCTGGTCAAAGAAACAGTGGCACAGTTAACATATTTTCTTATTAAAGCCCTATTTTGCAGCAATCTTGAAATACTAAAATTAATAATACATCAATCTGTCAAGTATGACAGAAGTTGTTTATATTAAATTCTGTCCTTTCCATTAATAAGCTTAAGAATTGTTCCTTAATTTGTAGTTTTCAAACAAAAAAATCTCAGTATTTAATCTGAAGGCTTTGAATGTTTTAGCAAAACTCACTGGCAGTAATATAGAAAAATATCATCTGAAAGTACATCAATTAAGCTGAGGAACTATATACTGTGTGCTAACAGCTGTGTTAGCCACTAAGTATGAGGTGGTGCTTACCTTTGCTTACATTCCTGGACTTTATGAACCTCCTTAAGTGGTATTACACGGAGAGGTTCCTTTTCCTATTGGAAAAAAAGCAAATAAAAACAGATATATGACATACATTTTTAAAATCCTTTGGATCATTAGTTGTCTTATTGGGAGATCTACTGTGAAAATCATGCTTCCTTCCTGAAGCACATCTAAGACGTAAATCTACCTTCTTGAACCATCTAGCATTAGAAGGGCTCAAACATTATAACCCTCTATACACCGTGGTTTGAAACAAGGAAACTGACATATAACCCATGTTCACATTACTGATGTCCTAAATGACAGTGTAAGCTGATTGAAAGCCGATAATCATCCATCTTTTCCTCGATGAACCGCTATGGACCCAGTGAGTACTTTCTCTTTTTTTTCCATATAGAAGGGACCAGAGTAGTGAATACCCAGCTTCTCTGAGTTAAATTTGTCTTTTTAACAAACACAGTTTATTAAACATGTACTAAGTGACAGGACACGTGCTAGGTTTTAAACGTGTCACCCTACTTTCCACAACCCTAGAATACATGCACTATTATTCCCCTGAGCAAGCAGGATTAGACATACTAATTACTTCAACTAAGGCTACAAAACCAGATACAAGGTTCGAATGTGACATAACTAGTTCCTAGCTGGCATGGTATTCACAGTAAACACTTCATGAAATACTGTATACTGTACTTCACCAAAAATGACACACCATGGGTTTAAGACATACCATTATTTTATGCAGCACTAACAAAATAATTAAACCATAGTTTTAGAAAGTAGCGCATGTTAAGATCACCTCCAGGACGGCCTCTTCGTCCGCTTGGACTCTGGCTGCCCACACTGGCTACTCTAGCTCCTCCTGCTTCTGCCCCACTACCAGGGACACCTTCAGTGATTTGCCTCACCTACAAAATCTACTCTGAATTGTTTGGGATTGATGGGAGGAAAAGAGGATACGGAAGGATCCCTCAAATCTTCAGGTGCTTTATTATGCTATAAAATGCAGGTTTTCGAATTAGAGTAAATATGTCTATAATAGTTCTTGTCTTATTATAACTACAGTGGGTGACATGTCTATTTCTCTGGTAAAACTGAACTCTTGAAGGCCAGAACATTGCTGATTGGCCTCTTTATTCCCAGTTCCCAGGGCCATAAAGGGCTCAAGAAGTATCTGGTGTGGGAATGACTCTTCCCACAAGGACTGGCATTAACTGAAAGCAATCAGTTAACCTGTCAACCAAGCAAAAGTGCAGCCTCTAAGACACCAAGGCTGGTACTTTTTGCACCAAGTAACTACTGCTTCCAGTTAAGGCTCTTAAGATTTTGAAATCTAAGAAAGGGTCCCGTGCTAAATGGTTATTCCTGTTATGCTAAGACATTTTTCAATTCATTCAAAATACTTGTTGATTATTCTCTAAGTACCAGGCACTGTGTTGATAAAAGGGTCCAAAAGAGAATCTTTGCTTTCAAGAAGCTGGTGCAATTAACTGGTAAAGACAAATATATACACAGTAACAAACCACAGTGGGAAGTGTTATGACCGCAGTGGGCATCGGGTACCACATATGTAAAGGAAAGGCATGCAAGTTTTCCAGAAGAACAGACTCCTGAGATGAATCTTAAACACGCCCTTCCTGTTCTCCAGTGCTTTGTTGTCCACGAGGAGTCACTAGCTCTCTGTAACTATTTGAATTAAAAGAATATTAAATATGACTGGTTTTAACTTTAAAATTAAATATAGTCAGGCTCCTCAGTCACAGTGGCCGTATTTCCAGCTGTATTTTACAGCCACAGGTACCACTAGATCTGGCCAAGGCAGATGACAGAACATTTCTATTAGTGCAAAGTCCACCTGGACAGTGCCACTCTGTGCCTTCATTAAGGTATGTGATTCCTCTGTCAAACATCCATCAAAGAAGATGTAGAACTGCATTCAATTTATCCAACAGTCTACTGCAGAACACAGGTCACGTGACAAGAGTATTTTAAATAAGGATGCTACTCAAACAAGTGAAAGAGGGAACTTCAATCTTTGATTCTACCTTCAGATGGGACAAAAACATCTTATGTGAAGAAACATAAAAGTCAATCTGAAATAGGAAGAGAAAATGTCAAGGGAGGGCAGGGAAGAGAAGGCAGAAATACAGAGGGTCAAATGTGGACTTTCTCCCATTTCCTCCACAGCTCCTTTAGAGGAAATGTGTAGACTGAGTGGTTCTGATGTTTTTAATTCTTTCAGAGTAGAATGCCTTTGAAGGTACACTCTTTTTACTTAAGATGTATTGAACAAAAATGCCATTAACCAAAAGCATCACAACAAAATACAGTGAACTGTATATATCTCCAAAATTTAATTATTTTAAAAATAGAAAAGAGGACAAGAAATTATATAATTACCACAGTGTAACACTTCTAAAACCTTTTTAAAGCAACATTTATGACAAAGCAACATACCAGTTCAGATTTGAAGTAGCCTATTGTGTTTTCATCCAATTGAAAATATCTTCTCTTCCAGTTTTTCATCTACCAGAGATGAACACAGACATAAGACTTCTGTTTCTAAGATGTCAAATGTTAATAACCACTTAATTCTTCTGATATGAACCCACAATCAGAAATGTCAAGCACCGGAAAACCTCACTACCCTCCCTTAGAAGAGGAGATACATGAAATTTCATCTCTTGCTACTCAGGCCTTGAACTTCTAATTCAACTTTGGTGCTTGACTTTTAGCTCTTATTATATGCTTTTATAATATGGTCTTACATTTTTGATGCTCTGAAAGTTAAGAAAAAAAAAACAAAAACAAAGAAAGTACTTCCCTACCCCCTGCATTCCCCACAAAGTTCAAAGACTGTCAAGAGTTCAACAGCAAGCACAGGAAATGTTATTAAACTACATCAAACTTCTTCATCTACAAAATGCATGAATCCTCAACAGGTACTTTATAATACTAACTAGTAAAGTAACACGTTTAATAAAGTGAACCTACTCTGTATAAATATTTTTTGTCAATGAAATATAGTTTTTGTGAAAGCACTTCAGATTTTCTAAGGGTCAGTATTTTGGATTTAAAAGAACAACAGAAAGGAATGTCTCCTTAAGAGCCCTAATTAACACACAGCCTGATGAGAATTCTGATTTGATCTACAGATATGCAAGAATGAAAAACCTTCATTTCCTGTAGCCTAGAGAGGGTCAAACCATTAGGAGTGAAAGAACTTGCCTTGGTTGGCCTGAGCTCACCAGAGTTGCCAGAAGTTATTCTTTAAGCTCAAGCTGAACTGCCAGTACACATTTAAGTAAAAAAATTTTTTAAACTTTTTTTCTAAACTTTGAAGTTTATTTTCTCATGAAAATTTAGACTTAGTTCATATTTTAGAAGGGCACTTTGGAACTGTAGCAATACTGGTGAATGTACTTGCTCTTTCCACAGTTTCCTATCACCGATCTATTACCTCAGCCAACCAGTAACAGCTCTTACTAATGACCAGGTGCTATGCTTCGAGCTCTCTCATCTACATCTTTCAAAAAACCTTCTGGATGGTAGGCTTTATAATATGATTTTCTACATACACACACACCCAAAAAACAAACAAACAGAAACTGAGAGCCTGAGAGGTTAAGTCAGAAACCAAAGGTCTCAGCATTTTCAACTCAGGTCAGCTCAACCCTGCACCAAGTAAGTGATCCACACCCCACCCTCCTTGCCCTCCTTTTCTGTTATCTTCCTACTAGAGTTCCCTTTCCCTGACCCACTCCCAAGGGGGTAAAAAAAATCAACAGAAACACTTCCTGGAATAAATTTAAATTGTTAGGAAAGCTCATTTAAAATTGCAGGTTAGTTGTAATGGGCATTAACTTACCCAGCCGCCTACAGATCAAGAAAATAATAGCACTGAGTTTTGAACAGAGAATAACCCCTATGCCCTCTCCTGACTCCTGGTCAGCAAGCTGGTCTTTCACAAAACAAAGCAAACCATGTGTATGTTGAGAGTTTGCTAATGAATACTCATTTTTCATTATTTCACATACTTTGTTAAACTACTCACCACTGCTCCTTGTTTTACACAATATCCAGCTTTGATAACTGCGCTATCTGAAGGTGGTTTAGGAGTGAAGTAAGGAAGATGGCTTTGTGACCGCTTCAAATTATTTCTGTCAATAGTTTCACCACATTCATTTACTTCTTCTTTCTAGAATGAAGCAAAATAAAGTCTTTTCTTGCTTGTTTCGCTTAAAAGCATATTGCAGTTCATGCTGTTATCCCAGCAATCTTAAAATCCATTTGTCAGGAAAACAGATCTTCAAGTGTTTTCTAATTAATTTGAGATACTTAATCATAACTTTTAACAACAATGATTAAAACCTGGATTTCTATCTCTCTTTTTCTGCAAAAGTCTTGCCACCAGCACTTTTTTTTTTGGTAGGGGATGCTGGAGTTTAACTTTCTAATTTGAAATAATTATAAATATTCACAGGAAGTTGTAAAAACACAATGTACAGGAGGTCTTATGTGCCCTTCAACCAGTTTCTCTAAACAGGGAAAACTATTCTATGGCACATTATCAAAACAGACACTGAACATGTCACAGACCTTGTTCGTTTTTCCCCAGTTTCACAGGCATTCACCTGTCCCTGTGCGTGTCTCCTTCTATGCAGCGTCACTGCCAGATCTGCGTCCCCGCCACCACCGCGGCACAGAAGCGTCCAGCACCCCAAGGCTCCCCCAAGGCTGCCCTTTTAGAGCCTCCATCCCCAACTGCTTGGCCCCCACTAATCTGTTTTCCATCCTTATTGTTCTGACACTTAGAGAATTTAATACAAATGGAATCATACAGTAGGTGGGCTTTTGAGATTGGCATTTGCCACACTGTATTATTCACCAGGGAATTCATTCAGGTTGGTCCTTGTACCCTTCTCAATGAACGCAATATTCACGGTTTGGACGTCCCATTGGCTATATCACCCATTAAAGGGCACTTGGGTTACTACCACATTTGGGTGATTAGGAATAAAGCTACTACACAGTCATGATAACCGATGTGAAACAATTTTTGGTGACTTGGAAAATGTTTCAGACCTAAGAAAAAAAAGCTGTTTACAAAGTATTTACATTTCTATGGGGCAAAAGGGTCTAAAAAGAAAGGCTCAGAAGAAAACATGTAAAGTGCTAAATGTTGTTTACCTATGTTTTCCAGATTTTTTACAATAAAAACATACTTTTGAAATAAGTATAAAAGTCTTATGTTTTAATTACTGCATTTATTCAATAAAGATGTACAATTTACTTTTGATAACAAAAAAATCAATATGCAGTAGATAAACCATCACACAATAGAAGAACTGATTTCTTACCTGAGTTGGGGTAATGATGGGCACACCACCAACAATGTCAGTTCTGTAAGAGACCTGCTTCTTTCCACATTCGCCCTGGCGACTTGGGTTATCAGGATGAGGCTGTGAGTCTAACGGCTTTGGGACCTAAAATAGTAAGTCAATAAATCATTTTGCAACAAGCATTATCTGAGATCCTCTTTTATCACAGAATTTCCAACCAATCATAAGTCTATATATAATTGGTATATATAAAAATTATTTTTAGTATATATATATAACCTTTTAAGTTTGCATACTGATTTTTCTTTTACAGTATTTATGACACAGCCATCATTTACTGTGTGCTTACTTGGGCAGGTACTATTTCATATATTTTCCCTTTTAGTCCTCCTGTCAGTTCTATGCATAGGAGGAGCATCACCACAGCAGTAAGAAATCAGGCTCAAGAGGCATCAGGGAATGTAAGTCTAGATCCTGGCTGGTCCACGTTCTAGCTAAGTTTGTATAACTCTCTTTCACATTTAACCACTATAACAACATCCCCATTTTATCAGAGCACTTGAGAATGTATTACAGCTCTGTGCTGTTACCCTTCCCGTTCCTCCATTCCTGCCCAAGACTGTGCAAATCCTGAGGACAGGGGATCCTGTTTCTTTAGATGTTCCCCTAAAGGCTTTCTCCCCAGGCCTTAGGCCAACCCTCCACCCTCTCATCCATAATTAAACTATAATACCAGTTGTGGGCAGAAACAAAAGAATGAAGGAAATAAGAAGGACAGGGAAGAGAAATGAATTCTGGAGGGGAAAGTTTTCTGAATTCTTCTAAGAGATTGTATCTAAGAGGTTGCATGTTTGGGAGAGCTTTTTAAAGACAACATGACTACAGACAGAATTTTACTTGCCAAGATTCGCAAAAATACTTAAGAGTGAAAGGGCTATAGAAAGTTCACTATGCCAGAAGCAATCTGCTAAGAAGTCCCAGTGTTAAGGGGGGACTAGTGAAGAGCATCATCTACTTCAGTTATTCTGACAGAGAAAATGTGGCCAGGCTATCATAAGAACAGAAAAATGCATTAAGAGAATTTGAAACCAGAGAGAGAATTAGCTATCCAACATTTGTATTAGCTGCAAGTGCTGCTGAAAGGTGACCCATACAAAAAGTGGCTACTCCCTCTTTCAAGAAGTTGAGGGTTTAGTCATATGTGAGAATTTCCTAAGAAAATACCTTTAATATCTCCATAAAAATATACTAAAATTTACATTGGCTTTTTTTTCATTTTTCTTCTAGAAATGATAGTATATTAAAAACCCCTTGCCTATACTGTTAAACCCACTGCTTCTCATTTATCCTTATAACAGAATGCTAAGTACAGCATAATTCCAATGTTATAGCTCAACAATTGACTTAGAATTACATTTTTGAATTAAAATTATCTAAATTGTAAACATTTCTAAGAGCAAGAAAAATATAAGCAAAATACTCATGAATATAGCAATTCCCTTAAAAATTCTGAAAGAAAAGTTAGCTCTCAATGCAGTCATTAAAATAAACACATTTTCAGAACCAAAAAAACCAGTCAGGCAACTTGTAATGAGAATCAGAAAAGTGACCTCACTAGACAGATGGGAAATGTCAGACACCGAACATGCTTGGTTTCACTGCCGACTGCTTATCCCCTCTTCCCTGCTTCCCATCCATGATTGCTGTGATGGTTTTTCTGTGACAGATTTGCATGTATTTTTGGCAAGCATCTGCACATGATCCTAATGATAGGAAATTCTAATAGCAGAAAAAGAAAAGGTAAAAATGACTAGAGAAGAGATGAACAAAATGGCAAGCCTGAAGACTGAAACCTAAAACATTCAGGAACAAACTCCAGGATGATATGAGCTTTCTAAGAGCTCTACCTACAGGCTGAAAAACACAAGTATAAAGCCTTACACTTTGGATTACATATATACACCATCTTGGTAAGACAGAAGTCCTGTATTCAGGTTATTCTACCTACTCCCAGTTGCCAATTAAAATTTTTTAAAAAGTGTAGAAGTTTGGCCATAATTTCAAAACACTTATTTTTAGATTAAAATCAAATACTGATTTTTTAAATCAAAACCTACAGTGGGAAAAGACATTATTTTAAAAAATAGTAGGTTTCTATTTAGGAATATGCCATATGCATCAATAAAAATAGTTCAAAGTGTACTTTGAAAAGTTGACTTTCCAAATTCTAGTCATCAATACTTCCTTCAAGGTTGGTTCCTCTCAGTTCAGTTCAGTTGCTCAGTCGTGTCCAACTCTTTGCAATCCCATGGACTGCAGCACACCAGGCTTCCCTGTCCATCACCAACTCCCAGAGTTTACTCACACTCATGTCCATTGAGTTGGTGATGCCATCCAACCATCTCATCCTCTGTCATCCCCTTCTCCTCCTGCCTTCAATCTTTCCCAGCATCAGGGTTTTTTTTTTCCAATGAGTCAGTTCTTTGCATCAGGTGGCCAAAGTATTGGAGTTTCAGCTTCAGCATCAGTCCTTCCTATGAATATTCAGGACTGATTTCCTTTACAATGGACCTTTAGGTCCAAGGGACCCTCAAGAGTCTTCTCCAACACCACAGCATCATTTCAAAAGCATCATTTCTTCGGCACTCAGCTTTCTTTATAGTCCAACTCTCACATCCATTCACAACTACTGGAAAAACCATAGCCCTGACTAGATGGACCTTTGTTGGTAAAGTAATGTCTCTGCTTTTCAATATGCTATCTAAGTTGGTCATAACTTTTCTTCCAAGGAGCAAGTGTCTTTTAATTTCATGGCTGCAGTCACCATCTGCAGTGATTCTGGAGCCCAAAAAAATAGTCTGCCACTGTTTCCACTCTTTCCCCATCTATCTGCCATGAAGTGATGGGACCAGATGCCGTGATCTTAGCTTTCTGAATGTTGAGTTTTAAGCCAACTTTTTCACCTGCCTCTTTCACTTTCATCAAGAGGCTATCTAGTTCTTCTTCACTTTCTGCCATAAGGGTGGTGTCATCTGCATATCTGAGGTTATTGATATTTCTCCTAGCAATCTTGATTCCAGCTTGTGCTTCATCCAGCCCAGCCTTTCTCATGATATACTCTGCATATAAGTTAAATAAGCAGCGTGACAACATACAACCTTGACGGACTCTTGTCCCAATCTGGAACCAGTCTGTTGTTCCATGTCCAGTTCTAACTGTGGCTTCCTAACCTGCATATAGATTTCTCAGGAGGCAGGTCAGGTGGTCTGGTATTCCCATCTCTTTAAGAATTTTCCAATTTGTTGTGATCCACACAGTCAAAGGCCTTGGCATAGTCAATAAAGCAGAAGTAGATGTTTCTCTGGAACTCTCTTGCTTTTTGGTTTCTCTCCTATTGCTTTTTCTCTCTTTTTTGTAAGTAAGGGGAAAACTGTTTTAATGACAGCCACCAACACACAGTCACACAGAATTCATGAAAGTGAGGAAAGCCATGAACTATGGTGCTAGAGGATGGTCCATTAAGATGGCATGGTACTATAATTAGTAAGTAGATAGATAATCACCATTCCCTTACCCACTGTCCTCTAATCACCTCTATTCTGAAACCATGTACCTCCAAAACCTAATTTTGAATTTCCAAAACTTTCAAGTGTATATATTACATTGTACTCAGTAGACTACTAAATTACACAGTTTACCAAATGTCACTTGGAGTGACTCCATAGAAAGGTAAACTGTACATATATTAAAATGGGAACTTGAAATTTACAAAGAAATCTACATGTAAATTACCAGCAACTTCCATAGGGAAGTACGCTAGATTAAAGATTCTGCACTTAAATGCATATGGAATTAACACTGCTAAGATTTTTTTTTAAAGAACAGTGAAATAAAATGTTTCTTATTAAAGCATGGGAAATTCTTTCATTGCTATCTTATGAGTTAATGTGTACCTATATAAAACCAATTTTTACTAAGTGATACCCATTCTATAATCAATTTAACATAGTTATAACCACTTCACCACTTCATTGACAAGCATGGATTTCTATATCTTAAATTTATATTTTCTAAATGTGAATTATCAAAACACATATACAACAGATTCATTTTTAAACTATAAAAGTTTCAACAACAGCTACAAGACCACAAAAGCTATTTAAGAGTCCACATACTTTGACACACTACCCAATTTCTAATCAGTTTCTTGTGCATTTGAGTAAGCTTAAAGTGTCACTTGTATAAGACAGTTTCATACCATTAATAAATTAGATACAGCAGTTCAAAAGACCTCCCAAATGGTAAAAAGTCTGAGACCATTCAATTGACTACTTTTTTCTCTTAAAGCACTAAGAAACCAATGCTACTGCTCACTGCAAATTGTAAAAAAAAAAAAAAAAAAAAATTACTTCAGTGAAATTACTACATATTGTCTTTATTAAAAATTTCCCAAATAGGGAATATTTGCAAAGAGTCAAAAACAATCAGTTAAAACCTTTTAAGAAAATGCACTTTTGAATCAGTTTTTTGAAAATTGCTTTCCTGAAACTGCACAAACCTAAAATAACTTCTGCTTCATGTACAGATCAGATGCAGTGCGTGGGTGTTTTCTGTCATGTGGTAACAAGCTGTTCTGGTGCAAGACCCAAAAAAATCGACCTAACTCTGAGAACAGCTTTAGTTATATTAACTCTTTATTGTGTTATGATATAAACATGAAATTATTCATCTAAATGGAAACAAACATATGCTGATTGTCAGGGCATATGTTTTTAAAGAGTAAGTCACATTGGGTCAGTAAATAACCTCATTTTAGTAAACACCCTTCAATTTAGACAACCTCACCCAGGACCTCCTTCCCCATTCTTCCCCTATGGGCCTGCTGTGTGTGCTTCTCCAACAGAGTGTAAGAGGGGAAAGGGAAGGAGAGGCTTCATCAGGGAACAGTTCCCGTCACTTGCTCAGCAGCAGCAGTACTAAACTCTCCCAGAAGTCTGTGTTCTGCTTTAGGGTCAGAGAAGAAGGATGGAGGCTCGTTCTTTCAGGAAGCAGTGAGGCACTGAGCTTCAGAGTTAGGCTCCAGAGTCAAGCAGATGGTGTGGCTCACAGCTCCACAATGTAACAGCTATTGAACCTATAAATGTCACTCGATCCTTCTAAGCCTCACTTTTTCAGGTACTTCAGTGCAAGGCCTTGCACACTACAGAGAAACAACACATATTAATGTTCATCAGAAAATCAGAGAAGCCCGAGTTGGAAGCAGGAAACTGCAGCACAGAAAATGAGTGCCCAGGAACTGGAGGGAAAAAAGCAGTGCGACAAAAACTTTCAAGCCTGAGTCAAACCCCCAAGGACCGCGCAGGCAGGAGCCTCTGGCTACTGCAGTTCTTCAGATCAGTCCCCACCCCTGAAGTCCTCTCTAAGCCCTTCACTGCCTTGTCCTGCTCCTATCTTCAACTCCTATCTACCTATGACCAGTCCCAGTCATGGCTTAAAAGGCAGACAGAATGCCATTTCTATTCCGTGGATAGGTGGCAAGAAGTCTTTTAATCTTCCCTGCGGGGGTGCAGGGGGAAAACATATCCAAAAGGTAGAACTCTACCTGCATTTTCCCTTAGAAACACTAGTATAAACAGCAGTTAAAATCTACAGTAATACAGACATTTATTAGGTACACAATGGGTTAAAAAGGCATCAAATTAACGGCAAAAGTTACCATAGTATTAAAACAAGAAAAAACATTCATATTATAACCTGTCTTTTAAACAAACTTTGAGGAACTCTGGGATAAACTGTTGGTAAGCTGAGGACACTCGGTAGGTATATTGTACAATCTGTAAAGATCACATGAAGATAATAAATTTTTTTCACACAAAAAATACAAATACTTACTGTAATTTTAATAGCTTTGTTCAACACATTCACCCATTCTACTAGGTCCTGCTGATCATTGGCTTGTAGGAAATATTTCCTCATCCCTGCATTCATAACTGTTGAAAGAAAAAACAAACTACAACAGGTGAAACTGTGTACTTATTACCTAGACATATGTCTGCGGCAGCTGAAAAACCTTGCCAGCTTCAGTACTGTGACTCTTGAATTTGACAGAATGGTAGACTATGTATGATATTGCTTTCATCACTCAATAACGTAGAGTTATTATCAATAAGACTCTAATTTTTAATGGGCATGTTTCTCACTGAATGTAAAAATACCACAATATATTTAGCCAATCGTCTAATGATGGACATTTAGACCATTTCTGATTTTTGAAACTATGTAAAATATCCCAATGAAACATCACGTATGTATACTTTTCCACACTTTGGCTAGCATTTCTATAGGATAGATTTCTTACCATAAGCTTCAATAAGAAGAAAATTCACATTTAACATGTTTACAGATATTAGTAAACTGTCTTCCCCAAAGGTTTGAATCCAACCAATAGTGTATCCAAAGGCCTCGATTATCTAACATTCCTCACTAGCACCTCTTCTGTTTTCAGCCCCGAGATGCTGTGACATTATTTCCCAGACTTCCTTGCCAGCCTGGGCCATGTCTTGCTATAATGGGTGGTACTGGTGGGAGACAGAGGTGGGAGGAAAGTGGGGGAGGGGACTGCTCTTGCTGATGCCCCTCCAGCAGCAGCAACACACAGCCAGTTGTGGCTCCAAGCTCTTCTGCTGCTCCCTACCGCAGCCTTGAAGTCCCCTCAGCAAGTCCTAGGTTCTGGTAATATCACCTCTTCCCTTTCCTCTCTCCCGCCCTGGTGATGGAAGCTGCTTCATACAGTTTTTAATCTCTGGGTTACTTCAGCATTCCCTTCCTGTGCCTTCAGCCTCTCAACATCTGGTCAACCAATTCCCTGTAACAAATCCCCTGGGTTTGAAACGCCAAGTGTGGTGTGTTTTCCTGACTCACTGTCCACCTAATTGGTAAAAAATTATAGCTTGTCTAAATCTGAATCTCTGATTACTGAGATAAATTAGTTTTGTATGTTTACTGGTTGTCTACACTTGTTTGTAAGCTCTGTTTATTTTCTTTACCCATATTTCTCCTGAGTCATTCATGTATTTTTTCTTGATTTATAAAAGCTTTTATTTATAAGAGCTTTTCTCCTTGGAAGAAAAGCTATGACCAACCTAAACAGCACATTAAAAAGCAGAGACATTACTTTGCTAACAAAGGTCCATCTAGTCAAAGCTATGTTTTTTCCAGTAGTCATGTAAGGATGTGAGAGTTGGACTATAAAGAAAGCTGAGCGCCGAAGAATTGATGCCTTTGAACTGTGGTGTTGGAGAAGACTCTTGAGAGTCCCCTGAACTCCAAGGAGATCCAACCAGTTCATACTAAAGGAAATCACTCCTGAATATTCACTGAAAGGATGATGTTGAAGCTGAAACTCCAATACCTTGGTCACCTGATGCGAAGGACTGACTCACTGGAAAAGACCCTGATGCTAGGAAAGATTGAAGATGGGAGGAGAAGGTGATGACAGAGGATGAGATGGTTGGATGGCATCACCAACTCAATGGACATGAGTTTGAGTAAGCTCTGCGAGTTGGTAACGGACAGGGAAGCCTGGGGTGCTGCAGTCCATGGAGTCGCAAAGACTCAGACAAGACTGAGTGACTGAATTGAACTGAAGAACTTTTATATTAACCCTTTCAGTTTTAATTCAAGTACTTTCCCCTGTCTATCATTAGTCTTGTCACTTAATTCACAGTATTTTAATGAATCAGAAATAGCCTACCAATCTTTTTCTTTAAAGACTCTAGCTTTCATGTGATATTTAGAAAGTCTCCCTGACTCAAGATTATAAAAATAAACCTTTATTTTTCTAGTACTTATGCATTTAATGTTTATAATCTTAACACATTTAGAACTTTTTATGCAGTTTAATTTACATATACCCATTTAGTGACTACTACTTCTATGAAGCAAAGCATTCCTGCATATAGTTGTCAACAAACTATTACAGTCAATGTTAAAATTAAAGCTTATTAATTATATATTACATGACTTATTTTAAAAAAATATTCTAAGAGCTAAAGCATCTGAACAGCTACGGTGCTGTAATTTTTTGTTTTTAATATACTTTTTTTAATGACTTCTATACATCTCCAAAAAAATTTTAAATAGCATACTAACACTCAGCTGAACGTGAGGCAGAGGAGGAAAGGCTTACTTCTCAAATACACTAGATTATGAAACTAAGACTGAGAACAAGACACTAAAGCAGAGCTTCCTTGAATTGACACACATCTTATCTTGTGAAGGGCTATAAAACAATTAGTCTGGACCTAAAGAAATTTAACACACTATAAATCTGTTCTTTTATATCTTACTAGTGACTGGAGAAATTAAAAATGCCATAAATATAAATTAAGATAAGTGAGTAACTCACTAGACTATTATATATGTCAATATATAGTTTTTGTTTTTAATCTCCAACACTCAGTAAAGCATCCTTTATAAGCTTTTCCAACTTAGGCTGAAGCTGCACTCCCCTCATAATGGCTTTTTCCCACTCAATGTTATTCTGGGCATTTGCCTAGACATCTGAAGAGTATAAAATTCTAAGCACTTGGTAATATACTATACCTGCTATAAAGGAAGTGCTTAATACATATTTTTTGAATAAGTAACATTTATAGAGAAGTATCTTTTAAGGGAAAGAAGAGAGGTAAATATACCTCTAAAAAGAATCTTAGCACAATTTGCAGTCTAAATAAAAAATCATGTGCTTTAAGAATTATTTTCATGGCAGGAAGAGGCATAGTGATTTGACAGCAGGGAAAATCTGAGCCTAGAGCTAACCAAACCTAACTAGCTCATGCACTTACTAGCAATCCCATCTTTTTTTTTTTTTTCATTTATTTTTATTAGTTGGAGGCTAATTACTTTACATCATTGCAGTGGGTTTTGTCATACATTGAAATGAATTAGCCATGGATTTACATTAGCAATCCCATCTTATAAAATCTATTTAATCTCTGACTCTTTGTTTTCCTCATCTATGAAATAGAATGTAACCCATCCCTCCTTTGAGGGTGAAGGTGATGTGTGTAAAGAAGCTAGCACAGGGCTTGGGAGAGAACAGAAACTCCTTGTCACCATCTTCATCGCCTTCACGATCATCAGTATCATCTGGAGATTTCCAAGTAAGGAAGCATTGTGAAAAATGTTAGAGCAACTTACGGAAAATTTTATTAACAGTGATGGGGAAAAGGTGGACAGGCAAAGGAAGGAAAAATACTTTTAATAAGAATAATGATAAACTGTATGAAACCTGTTACATTTCCACGCTTTTAAAGCAAAGGTTTCATTGTGTACAATGAATGTAGAGCAGAGGCTTGCACGCTTACTAGCTTTTCACTTAAGTACCTCCCTTATTTCATTTCAAATCTTAACCATCAGAGTGAATGTTATCAAATGGATAAAACTTGAAGCACAAACATTAGCTTGATTCAAAATAAAAATCATCTCACAACCAAGGATCAACTGCTATGGTTCAAATACGGTTATGGATATATGAGACATTTTATCATATTTCTTTGCCAATTTTCTCCTGTTTTCTCTGTTCCCTCTTCTTTCTCGTCCTTTCTTTCTCTATTAGTCACACATCAGTTTTCTGAAGGGAGCCTCTAATTTAATCTTCTTATTTCTCTCCTACTACCTGCTTCATTTTTAGCTTTCTTTGACTTGTTCTTCTGAGTTTTTCACAGTCTCATGTTCTTTTTCCTATTTGACAGTTTTTTTCCCTCAAATGTCATATAATTCTGGGCTAGCCATTCATACTTAAAAACAAGATACCAAAAAACTCCTTGGAAGTTCTCTTGAATATTATGTAGGGATTCTGACTGGTGAGCATCACTGTACAGCAAGCCCCTCTGACAGAAATGCCAGCTGTCAGTACCTATGGCTCTCTTCTCTGGGGTGTTCAGATTCTTGCCCCACTTCCACCTGGCTGCCTGATGCTCTGGGCCTGGACATAGGAAAGAATTGCATTCGGTGTGCAGACTTTTATTTAATCCTCCTGTTTTCCGTTTCATGCCTCATACCCCCTCTTCTCTGGGACTACTGTCCCCAGGCACATAGCCTCACTGATTCTATTTCGGGAGATACTACACATGCCATTCCTTGCTGGGATGGGGGAAGGGTGGCTGCCTGCCTGAGCCAGCTGGAGGTAGGGACCAGAGGTTGTTTCTACAGAGACATGCAAACAGAGTCACTGATCTGGGTCCCTCCTCTCTGATGCTTACCCAGACAGGATCCAGCACCTAGTCTGTCCAGAGTTGGCGTGGGGGCAGGATATGGAAATGGCTAGCTTTTCAGGGGCCTCTTCTACTCTGCTAAGTTATTTCCTCCTCCTCCATCCACTTCCCATCTTTATACACTGTGAATTAACAGAAATCTGCTCGTTTCAGGGAATATGGTTTGAATGTTTCTTGTTCTCACTGTTAGGGGGAATTTGAGAGGAAAGCGGGGAGGAAAAGTCATTGGAAGGACTGATGCTGAATACTGAAGCTCCAATACTTTGGCCACCTGATGCAAACAGCTGACTCACTGGAAAGGACCCTGATGCTGGGAAAGATTGAACGCAGGAGGAGAAGGAAGCAGCAGAGAATGAGATGGTTAGACAGCACCACCAACTCAATGGATATGAATCTGAGGAAACTCTGGGAAACAGTGAAGGACAGGGGAGCCTGTCATGCTGCAGTCCATGGGGTAGCAGAGAGTTGGACATGACTTAGCAACTGAACAAGAACAAAAAAAAGGGAGGAAAGTCTTGCTGCCATTTTTATGGAAGTTGTGGGTCCATTTTATAAGTCAGTGCCTCTTTCTGAAGGTAAACATTTTATGAATCCTTCCTCTAACAGGGGCCTCCCAGGTGGTGCAATGTGAAAAGAATCTGCCTGCCAATGCAGGAGACCCAGGAGACGGGGGAGAGTTAGGAAGATCCCCTAGAGAAGGAAATGGCAACCCACTCCAGTATTCTTGCCTGGACAATCCCATGGACAGAGGACTCTGGCGGGCTACAGTCTGTGGGGTTGCAAAGACTTGGAAACAACTGAGCAACTCTCCCTCTAATAGAAGACTAATAAACTACTGGCAGAGCAATAGATTAACTAATCTTAATCTCTGATTTCAATTAAAATCCCTCATTCTAAATACCGCGATAACTGAATGTCACATCTTTCCCTGTGTACTGCTAGCCCTTCAAATTGTATGTTTGAGATTTTACATTAACGACTTTCAAGAGTGTGTGCATGTGTCAGGGAATGTTTGACGGGAGGATTCCCACGTGCTGTCTCTCATGAGTCCTTTGTCCCTCTTCAAGCGGAACAGCACGCTGCTCCCAGGGACTGAGGTCATTGTGTGAGGCTAGCTTGGGTCTCCTTTAGCAAACATTCTCTTTAGGACAAAACTGCTTAGTCTCCTTCCCCTTTCTTGAGATATGGATTGTCTCCTGACCTTGTGACTAACATTACCCCTTGTTCCCTCGGTAACGGTTGCTGTACGTTTGGTTTTCTGATCTCTATCATTCCCGAAAGAAGTTTCTTGTACTGCAGCCTATATACACTCATAGAAAATTCATTAAAGCACCTTTGCTTCATCAAGCTTAGGTCCCCAGGTCTTTTGTGTGTCTCTCTCTCTTTCTCTCTCTCTCTTTTTCTGGCTGACTCTCTGGAGCGTGGAGACCCGTCGTGCTCACTTTTCTGCCCAGCCTTCTAAGACCCCCTCGAGAGGGCGCCTGGTGCCTTCGTGAGCGATGCAAGTCCTGTGTCAAGAACTTTATTGGTCCTCTGCGTAAACCAAGGGATATCAGCCTCTTTCTCTCTTTCACTTTCTTATCGTCGACTCCGTACCACCAGGTTCCGGTCCATTGAAGGACCCCAACAGGCATGATATACTCTAAAATACAAAGTTCTCTGTCACGTGATTTGCCCCCAGGAGCCTTTCATTCAACAAGGTTCTGAGGCATTTTCTGATTTAGCAACCAAAAATTATAAATATGTAAGAAATACATGATTTTTTATGGCTTCTTAGTGGTGATAAAAGCATTACAAAGGATCCTCATACTATATCCTGCTTGTATCACACTTTCTGAGTGGACATATACAATGCTATCCCTACCATACTGCCTACAGAAGAAACCTACCCTTCCCAAGCAAAAAAAACATATTTAACAAATATCTTCTACTTTCATGTAAAATAGTCTCTTTTGAGGTCAGCTGGAAACTCCTACTAATTTTTGTCCCTTTCCTCACTAACGTCCACACACTGAGAGCATATAGATTCTCCCAGCTTTAACTATACCCACTATGATAACAGATTCTAACGTTCTCCATTCTTGATCTTCAAGCTCCATCCAGTCCCCAATTACCGTCACCACAGTATTTCCATTTGGATGTTTCTCCACCACTCAAACTCCATACTAAATATCTCATCCTATACTAAATATTTCACCCTATACTAAATATTTCATCCTATCAAATCAGCTCTGCTAGATCCTCCATTTCTTTCCTTGAAGCAAACCTATTTGACATCTCTGTCTCGCCTTCGGTTCCCACACGTCCAGTCACCAAGTCCTTGTGCTTTTCCTTCTAATGTTCTTCATCCCTCCTCTTTCCCCCAATGCCATTATCCTAATTCAGGCTCATGTTAGGAACAGTAGTTTAAAAACCACTTAACTTGTCTCCTTGCATCAAACTCTCCTATCAACACAAAAAAACTTCCTTCACCTTCTATCTTCTCTCTAGATGTTCTCTAATCTTACCTCTCATTTTCCAAAAAACAACAAGAAAAAATCACTTGTCAACATATTACACCCTAACTCCTGCCTTTTCATTTTTCAGTCTCTCACCACTCTCTCCAGCTTCATTCAGTGTTCAGATCCCCCATACACCATGTTCTTCTCCCCTGCACACCTCTGTCCAGGAGTCCTCCCACCTTTTCTCCCCAGTGATAAAGGATGATCACGTGAGCCTCATGCAATGTGGCTCCCTTGACTCCCAAGATTCCCAAAAAAGGATCTGAAGCTCTTCTTCTGTGACTCTATTTTATCTACCACCTGTGATAAATGCAATGATAATTCCCTGGCCCTGTACCTGATTTTGGGCGCCAAAATCACTGCAGATGATGACTGCAGCCATGAAATGAAAAGATGCTTGCTCCTTGGAAGAAAAGTTATGACCAACCTAGACAGCATATTAAAAAGCAGAGACATTACTTTGCCAACAAAGGTCCATCTAGTCAAAGTTATGGTTTTTCCAGTAGTCATGTATGGATGTGAGAGTTGGACTATAAAGAAAGCTGAGCGCCGAAGAACTGATGCTTTACAACTGTGGTGTTGGAGAAGATTCTTGAGACTCTCTTGGACTGCACGGAGATCCAACCAGTTCATCCTAGGACTGATGCTGAAGCTGAGACTCCAATACCTTGGCCACCTGACGAAGAACTGACTCACTGGAAAAGACCCTGATGCTGGGAAAGATTGAAGGTGGCAGGAGAAGGGGATGACAGAGGATAAGATGGTTGGATGGCATCACCGACTCAATGGACATGAGTCTGAGTAAACTCCAGGAGCTGGTGATGGACAGGGAGGCCTGGGATGCTGCAGTCCATGGGGTCACAAAGAGTCGGACACAACTGAGTGAACTGAACTGAACTGAACTGAACCTGTCTGTGAGATTGCAGCCTGGGAGATTCTCAAGGGCAACAATTGCTTCTTATTACTCTCACAGCCCCAGTGCCAAATAAAGTGCACATATACTAGACCTTCGTTAAATGTTTACTGAGCACTTAATCAAATGTACTTAATCAAATACCCTCAACTACCATGCTCCCAAGCTCTGCACTTCTCATTTCCCATAAGCTGCAAACTAAATCCTTTCCATTATTTAAGCACCGAACATTAAATAATAATAAAATTAATCTCACTGGATGTGATCACTGTAAATGCCTAGATAATGATTACACATGGGTAGAGTGGGAGGAGGTTGTGACTGGGATGGGACACAGGAAGAGGTTTCAGGGGTGGGGGAGCAGTTTTACTTCTTCACCAGACAGTAGTTTCAAGGCAATCTGCCTTAGAATAATTCATTAACCAACAGGACAAAGTCATGGGCCTTCTGTGATTGTTTTCTCTTGCAATATGATATAATTATATTAGTCTAACTTAAAATTACTAATGTATAAAATACGGCTACTCACCAAAACAGAACTCAGCCTTTGGCCTTAGTTTAGTTGCATCGCTAACCTAACAAGAGAGAGAAATGAATCACTCACTTCTTCATATGCTATTATAATCAACCTTAAACACTGTGTGAACTTCCACATGTATGATTTCCCAGTGCTCACACACATTTAGCACATAGATCTAAAGTTAAAGGCAAATGAAAAAGAACTATAAATTAAATTTAGAACATGGGTCCCAAATGTAAGATGCACAAAAACAAGTGTTACTTCCATGCTCTCTTTGAACAAAATTGTTTTTTCTTCAAAGGAAGTATGAAGAAACTGAAAATAAGCCAGTAAGTTTTATGTCACACATATAAACATTTTTGGTTTCATGCAATTTTCAAAATACCCTCAAGGAATACTCCAAAGAAACCATGAATTCTTCCCAAATTTCATATTTCTAAATTAACTGCATGAGGAAATGGTGGTGGGCAAGGGCCAAATTGTATATTTAATAAAGTCCAAAAATCCAGAAGACACTAATCTGCAATGAAGAAACCAAAATGGCACTGGATCCTCATTTGTACACTGAAATACCCTAGGATAAGGGACCCCCCCCCTTTACTACATGTAGCACATGGTCCCATTTGGAAAGTGAACAACTAGCTGCACCTGGTTGCTACTAGCCCTTTAAATAAAGTAGCTCACATGGAAGCCCATTCATGGCTGTTTGCCATGCTGCTGCCAAGTGTCAGAACTCAGAATTGTAGCATCTGTTCTGTACCTTCAGAAGGAATTCTAAGTTTAGGTTTCCTGACTGATCCCAACTACAAATTCAGAGCACTGAATCACAACGAAATTTGTTCCAGGGATAAATTCTGAGGGAAAAGTGGCAAGTATAAAGTAGAGTACAAGCATACAATTCAAACTTCAGTATACTATGGGGCAGAGGTGAAACTTCACTACACAGAGAAGGTTATATTTCAAAAGGGAAGCAATGGAGGAGGGGAAAGCAGTGGCCAGTCTGCCTGTTTTATTGAATTAATATCTTAATCCTTAAAAAGACCTCCCATTTTTAAAAAGACCAGGCAATAAGCAATTGAAAAGATACAGGCACATGGGCAATTTCTACCTCAACTGCCTATTCCAATAAAGTAGGCCTTTCCACATCACTTCACTAAGAGTCAAAGATCCTTGGCAGCATGTTTACACTGCAGTATATGTATACTGCAGGCAATCAAGTAAACTGATGAGGGGGTGGGGTGTTGGGGGGCATCTACAGTTTATTCTACAGTGGAATCCTACACTTCCTAACAATAGTCTCTATAGAGTTTAAGTTGCTATCTACCCTGAAGTATTACTAAATGTCTTAAATTTATAGGAACACTTGAGGTATATTTAAACAAAATTTGTCTTCTGAAAATTTACATAATAACAATTTTAAAGTAAAATGGTTCCCTTTAAATATGTAATTTTTGTTGTCCAAGGACTATTTTATTTTTTGGTCAGTGAGAATGAATAGCTCTATTATGATACTGATTACAAAGCTTTTTATTTATCAAAAATATCTTTTTCTTTTAAACAGAGGCATACTTGTAAACTGGTCCTCTGATGAAGACCTCTGCTAATAAATCCCAATATATGCATAACAGTATGTATATGCATATTATTTAATCATACTGTTTTGCTACTTTCATATCTCAAGTCATCACCAAGCTTATTACTTTCTGTAAAACAAACCTATTAATAGTTCCTCAGCATCTCTCTATCTCAGTTCCCTAAACACTAATAAAAGATAATAAGAGGGGAAAAACTACCTAATACAAATCTAAATTTTTGAAAAGAAAAATAGTATTGCAAAAATGTCTGAAAAGTCAACAAACATTGAAAAGAAATTAATAGAGACAAAGTCAAATGAGGGAAAAAAATCAACTTTCATCATGAAGATAGTTCATATTCTCCTCAAAGTAAGATGTAAAGAAAAAAAGGTAATGAGATTAAAAATTAGTTTCAATAAATACAGATTCAGAAAAATCTTCACCAGATTTCCCAAAGACAGAACCTAACAATTAAAAGATCAATCTCCCCTTCTGACATTCATATGCCTAATCATAAAAGTTAATGCTAACCTCCCAATTTGCTACATTCTATAATTCATCTCTGTATTCTCTCTAAATTTGATAAAATATCCTAATTTTACCAGAGAACTTCCTAAACATAGTAATCAAGTACTGTTTTCAGTGTGATATGAACCACAACATCATCTTAAATGACAAAGAGAAGAGTCAGCTCCTTTCATTCATACTCTCATTCTAAGGGATCTTCATTCAAGCATGAATGTAAGACAATACAGAGAAATTACCTTTGAAATGTAGGTAAGTTTAATGGCGCCAACACGTGATGATCCAGAAGGTAGGTTCTATAAACAAATTATTAATATATAATTAATGATCTAACATTACAAAATTTCACATAAAATGTCCTATACACACTAAAAAAAAAGCTAAGAACCTTTACTAAGGTTTGAAATCAAGTGGACAACATGGATAACAACACTGAATTCTTTCTGTTCCACCACAACGCATTCTGTTACAGCTAAAGGCTATTTTACTATCATTATAACTAAATTTTTTTCATGAGCTTAACAAACCATAAGCAAGATCAGATTTTGTTTCAGAAAGCAATGGGGAAAAAATATTTAAACATAAAATAAATACAAAGGTAAGAAATTTCAAGAGAGTAAATATATACTTTGTTTTATTAAAATTATTAAATCACATATATCTCTTTAAAAAGACTGGATTTTCCCCCATTTAAATTATGTTAGTATTTATTACACCATTACTAATCTATATTGATACCAATTTTCTAGAAAATTATTGACACTTTTAAAACCATATGCAGGGAATGTATATATTGGCACATTCATAAAAAAGGTAATTATTCTTCCCTTCCCAAGTTTGGGTTATGGTATATGTCTTAAAAGAAGGAGAATCATTCTGGCTGAGGCTATCAGAAGGATTCAGTGAAGAATAAAAAGCATTGAAGCTGGACTTTATAAAGTTCGAAACACAAAGAGCAGGAGGGAGAATATTCCAGGCAGAGAAACAGATGAGCTTCACCAAGCGGAAGAGGATGTACTGTACTGAAACAGGAAAGAGACCGCGCTGGCCTGTAAAACGGGGCCACACAGGGCTGAAGTAGGAAACAGTGGTTTAGGAACTTAAACTAACAGCCTCATCATAGAGGACCCAAATAAGAAACAAAGGAACAAGGAATTTATACTGTGAAGACTTGGAGGGAATTCCCAGCCATGCAGTGCTCAGGTCTCAGTCCTCTCAGTGTGGTAGCTGGGTATCAATCCCTGGTTGGGGAACTAGTATCCTGCAAGCAGCCCCCCCCAAAAAACATATATATATATATATAATTGAAACCATTAAAGAAGGCTTCTAAGCAGTTCTGTAACCAAAACTGTGCTTTAATTAACATGTCTTGGACTATAATAGACAGGGAAGATGGAGATGGGAAAACCAGATAGAAGAATCTGGAAAAAAGTAATAAACATAAAGACTGATAGATGATTTCAAAAGTAAAAGTAAAACAGTCCTGATTTTGAAAGTTTCCTCCACTGTAGATTAAGGATCAATTTTAATTTCCTTTATAATAATGTACATTAAAGAAAAAAATCTATGGGCTTATTCTCATCAATGATTAGGAGGTACCTGTCTCAAACCTCTGTAAGCTTAGTGGAAACAGTTAATGATATGGAAGCCTAGACATTTAAAAGACAAGATTCTCAATCACAAATTGATTATTGTTTACATGGACAAGTCTTTTCAAAACTGTCACTTCTATGCAGAGTAAAACTGCGTTATGTTTTGCTTTAAACTCCAGACTATATACTGATACAAGCTTCTATATTTATATCATAAACATGTACATAAAATTATAACTTTTAATGTGTATCTTTAAATGGTTGTCCTTATACAAAATGTTTTATGTTTAAAGGGTTTTTTCTTTTCAATTTGGATAAGGAAATGAAATATTAAAATGTCTTCAAGCTCTTCTAACCACTATCAAAGAGTTTTTTCCCCCAAATACTGCTATTCCACAATTCAAAATCATTATTTTTCTTTTAATCCTCCATAATTCTATCATTTGAACTAGCTGAATACAGCTCTAATCCCATGGGTGAGAAAAAGAAATGAGCAACTATATCCTGACTGTATGACATAAAAGGTCATAGATTAGTGACACAGTACAATGAAATATAAGTACCTGGCAGATAAAGGATATTCAAAATACCTAGTTTCTACGAAGTGGTGTGATTGCTGCCAATTCACAAAAGAAGTGGGTTTCAAATCTGTTATTTGACAATGAACAAGAAATAATAAACTAGTATGACATTTAATATAAAAGGGAAACAAACCATTTGTTATGAGTTCCTCTACTCATTTTGCGAAAATCCTCTTTCAGGTTTTTTCAAATTCACTTTCTAATAAAGCTACTTAATTAATTCTCCACCATGTCTCACACTATCAACAAAACACAGACAGCTCCAAATTGATTCCCTAGTAATAGTCTAGAATGGATTTTTAAACCAATGTTTAATGTAAAGAAAGCAGTGATCAGAGGAAGAATGGCTCCCTAAGGTCAGGGTTTTAAAATCAGTAAAACAGTGTTAGGGCATGTAACATATGCAACCAGGTTGAATCATATGAAATCACCATTTTTTTTTTTAGTAGATCAAAATGGTAGTAAAATGGTAATTTCATGTGGTTCAACACAATAATCTTAGCAAGACATTTTACTGAAGTTTTCATGACAAGACATGTCTTAATACATTTTAAAGTGACACAAAGCTGGTATTGAAAGCTAATACACTGGATGACAGAATGCAGATTGTAAAAGATTCTTATTAGTTGGAATGAAGAGATAAAATTATTAAGAATAAACTGAATAGAAAGACAGATTTAAAATTCTGCACTCCAAAACAACTAATGGGCTAAGTAATTACACCACAGAAATTTGGCTTTAAAAAAAGAGTGCATGTGAAAAAGATCTAGCTAAGCACACACTTTAACAAATACCCTCCTTGCTACAGCCAAAGCCAATTATTTTCCAAGTATGCCACAGGGTTCCTTACTTTGATTTCCTGCCCCACGCTATTGGGTGAGCACCAAATACCCATTTCTCCACATCTTGGCCAAAATCATACTCTTTCTTCCCAGTCAATTTCAAATGTTACTACCACTTAAGGGAAGACATTCACTCCCTCTGCTAGCTACAATCACAACTTCCCTCTGAAATCCAAGTTTATGTAATACACATATTCTATTTTGTTCTTTTCCTTTAGTTCTGTTTAAGTGGGAAGTACTGACAAAAGGAGATATTCTAAGGAGAAGAACCTATTATATGAAGACAGAGAAACAATCAAGCAGGTGCAAATAACATTCAGGAGAAACTGTACAAGAGTCAACCAGACCTTACAAAAGAGAGAAATCAAGGGAAGCTCATAGATAGAACTAAGCACTGGTTTGTGTGGGGAGGAAAATCGGAAACTGGAATCTAGTAAACTGTAATCAGAGGGAGTCAAGAGGGGCTAAGTTACTCCTCACCTTGGAAACGTGGAGTGGGATTGTGCTACAGATAAAGAGATGGGCAATAAAAAGGAGGAACTGGATTCATGTTTTTTAAAAAAAGGAGAAAAGAAAATACACATGAACTTTTGATTTCTGCTGACTTGCTCCTTCTCCCAATGACTCTGATCAAGTAAATAAAGGTATTAATCACGTAGCTGCATAGACAGGTTACTATCACCCAAGAAAGTTGGTCATACTCAGAAATAAGGAAGTAAAACAGGGTATCGATAAGTTCAATAAGGACAAGGGTAGAGAAGACACAGTTCCTAGCAAAAAAAAAAGCCTCATACAAGGTCAGCAATCAAATAATGTAAACTGAATTAAAATACAAATAATCCTCCAAAATTTGAAAGACTCCATGTGGATATAGGACTAAATGTATAGAGAATCAGAGGGTAAAAGTATATCCATAAATAGAAGATACAAAGAACTAGATTTTGGCATGCAAAACAATAACTAAAGCTGTCTCAACTATAATAAATACTTTTTAGTAATGTGTAGTTCAAACAACAGTGAACATTAGGGATAATTGGGTCTCTTGCATTAAGGAGGAGACTGAATTAATAGTAAGGATTAAGATCCCTTACAACTCAAAAAAAATTAGTTTGAAGTTTATAATTTCTTTCAATTATCAGTAGAAGCTGTCAGTAATATCAGGTATGCTGCTGCTGCTGCTAAGTCGCTTCAGTCATGTCCGACTCTGTGCGACCCCACAGACGGCAGCCCACCAGGCTCCGCCATCTCTGGGATTCTCCAAGCAAGAACACTGGAGTGGGTCGCCATTTCCTTCTCCAATGTATGAAAGTGAAAAGTGAAACTGAAGTCGCTCAGTTGTGTCCGACTTTTCGCAACCCCATGGACTGCAGCCTACCAGGCTCCTCTGTCCATGGGATTTTTCAGGCAAGAGTACTGGAGTGGGTTGCCATTGCCTTCTCCGAATATCAGGTATAGTAAATGATAAATGTATAAACTTCAAACCCAAGATATATGACATTATATTTTCTAAAATAATGGCTGATGATCAACTTTCAGTTACAATGTGTGAGCTTACGTACATTATAAACCCCTAGAAGACTTGATTATCACCTTATTACCTTTCATATAAGAGAATTTTTTTAAAAACTTATCACTATCAAGCTCCAATTCATCATCTCTCCTTGTTCTGTCCCCATTAGAAGACAGGATGAGGGGATGTTTGCTTCCGGACTGGACTTGCTTTTCACAAAGTCCTGCTGGGATTACTCAGAACCCCGTGGCCTTCAAGGGTACTATGAACTGACTACTTTTTCAACTGTCGAGTATTTATCCTATTCCCTTTTTTCTCTGACTTTCTGAATGAAGTATAGTTGATTTACAATGCTGTGTTAACTTCTGCTGCATATATATATGTGTTCAGAAAATGAAATTATTTTCTACATGAATTAAGAAAATGAAAGAAAATTAATTCATTTTTATATTCTTTTCCATTATGATTTATCTCAATGTTCCCCACAACTCAAATTCTATATGAAGAAATATAAATGTATTAGCAATATGCATTTTGCCTAATCTAAAATCAATACTGAAGAGAAAAGAATACCAGACCAGTTGTTAGGGGTTCTGTTTCCTTCTCTGTGAAACAAAACAGAACCTCCTACCAATCCCTGCTCTCCTCAATTTTTCATTCCTCACCTGTACAGGTCATCCCTTAGACCAGATCAGCTTAAAAGTTTGCTAGGGACTCATCTCTTGCTTTGCACATACTTCCTTGCAATATACATCTCAATTTGAATTAAGAGTTTCACGGATAAAGAAAATTTAAAACCATTCAACAGACGATCTCCAGGCCAAGGCCTCTCACAGATCTTAAAAATGGGATTCTAATTTTTAATATATGACATCTGCCCCCAATAATCTGCAAGGTAACGAAAAAAATCAAATTCACAAATGGCTGTCACTCAAGTCTGACACTAAAAGATGAAAGCACTACACAAGTGCAAGAGTGTCAAATTGGTTAAGCAGCTTATTTACCAAAAGATAGTAGTCTCTATCTTAGAGACAGTATCTTAAATCTAAATAATCCAAAAATTTTCTACCAGAGTTAGAGCTGTTTCTCCCAAGGAAGGAAAAACATAAACACATGCATAAATTTTTATCAAACAAACTGAGCTTCATCTTCTGAACTTTAACACAGTAGGAGTTGGAGGTACAGGGCAAGGAGAATAGTAGAAATAAGTAGTCAGTAGAAATAAATTTAAATATATGTTGTTTAGGAAGATAAATCCTAACACCAGCATAGTGTGTCAAATACTTTAATAATTAATAATTAAAATCCATATGCTTTTGAAGAGGGAACCTTTTGGATTTTACAAACCTGTGGATTATCCATGTACCATACAAAACTATCTTCTCTGGTATCCAGTATGAAGTACCTCCGAAGAAATTTCCCACTGTTTTCATTTTCTTCAATGTCTAGAAAACCACAAATGCGATTCTGACGATCCACATAAGGCATTGCTGAGCTTGAACATTACACTGTTAAAAAAAAAAATTATCAGTAAGTACTTCTCAGTGGATTTCAAGCATAAAACATGCTATGTATGGTTCAGTTTATTCAACAAAAAGCCCACTTTCCAACATTAGTTGGGAGCTGATTAATGTGAATACATAAAAGCAAGGGCAAAAATCACTTGCAATTAAGCTTACTTTGAGTGGTTACTATACGCAACTGTACACTGATGGGGACAAAGGACAGCTATTCATCTCAGCTGAATAATTTGCTTACTTTTTTCCCCATGAGTAGACACCATCATCCCCTCTTCATGTTAATAGATAAAAATTTAACACTGAGTAGGGGAAGTGACTTTCCAAAATTAGTGAACTAGTAGGTAATGAAATAAAACATGAACCAAGATTCTTGGACTCTAGAGCTTGTATCTTAACCTTTCCATCTAAAACCCCTAGAATTATTAAAACCAAAATGAATCAAAATAAAGTAAGCTAACATGATAAAAACAGACATAAGCAGGTATTTTATGCTTAGTCATTCAGTCGTGTCTGACTTTTTACAACACCATGGACTGCAGCCCACCAGGTCCTCTGTCCATGGGGATTCTCCAGGTAAGGATACTGGAGTGGGTTGCCATGCCCTCTTCCAGGGGTTCTTCCCAACCCAGGGATCGAACCCAGGTCTGCAGCATTGCAGGTGGATTCTTTACTGTCTGAGTCGCCAGAGAAGCAGGTGTTATGTGTCTCCTAACAGAAGACACTAACATTAGCAATGAAGTGCATATAACCAAAAAACGTTTCATCTCAATCTGATCAAGTCTCTAGATTTCCCTACGGTCAACATGTAACTCATAGGAAATAAGGAACACAGGAACATATCAAACTGCACCACAGTTATTCAATCAGCAAAAGTGGGAAACATTAGGACCAAAAGTCCATTTTCTTCAGCAAATAAATTATTACAGGAAAAAGAGAGAAAGAGAAGTTACAGATGAAAAGAAACTTCAGAGGCATATCATATTTTGATTCTGAAGGACTGAAATTTTTGTTGTGTTGATTAAAGTTAAAAACCATGACTTGGGTAAAAAGCAGTGTTTCCATCCATTTTTCTCTAAGAAACTATAGATATATGATTCCCTCCTGATGTGATGCAAATCTCTAGATTGTTCTTACTCTGGGCCTTCTAGAGCAAGTGTCAACATCTTGTGACAGATTGAATTATTTATGTAGCTAGTTTTTCATTAAACTCGTGGCGAAAATTCAGTTAGAATATGCCCTGATACACTGCTTATCTAAATCACTCATCTGTATGCAGCTAGAGAAATGGTGAAACACACCAAAATGTTTTAAACAAAACTACCCATTAAGTTTGTATACATGTGTTATCATAAATCTGACACTTGGAGATAATTTTTTAATGAACTAACCCAAAGTTTTTAAAAACTTCTAAAATGTAACCAAAACTTGAAAAATCAATACACTATACTAACACATATTAACAGGTATAAACGATCAACCTGTGTGGTATACTGCCATGAAGACAGACACAGGCCAAAGGAATAGAATGAAGAGTCCAGAGACAAACCCATACATCTGTGGCTGATATTCAACAAGGGTGCCAATATCATTCAATGGGAAAGAACAGCCTCTTTAACAAACCGTGCTGGGACAACTGGTTACTCACATGAAACTTATATTTTTTACTCTCTCAGTCGTGTTTGACTCTTTCTAACTCCTCCTCTGTCTCCAGACAAGAATACTGGAGTGCGTTGCCATGCCCTCCTCCAGGAGATCTTCCCAACCCAAGGACTGAAGCCAGGTGTTGGAGAAGACTCTTGAGAGCCCCTTAGACTGCAAGGAGATCCAACCAGTCCATCCTAAAGGAGATCAGTCCTGGGTGTTCATTGGAAGGACTGATGTTGAAGCTGAAATGCCAATATTTTGGCCACCTGATGCAAAGAGCTGACTCATTTGAAAAGACCATGATGCTGGGAAAGACTGAGGACAGGGCGAGAAGGGGACAACAGAGGATGAGATGGCTGGATGGTATCACTGACTTGATGGACATGGGTTTGGGTAGACTCTAGGAGTTGGTGATGGACAGGGGAGGCCCGGCGTGCTGTGGTTCATGGGGTTGCAAAGAGTCAGACACGACTGAGCGACTGAACTGAAACTGAACTGAATTAGTGTCCAATTAAAATAAATTAATTAATTTTTTAAAAAAGAAAGAAAAAAGAATCTGCCTGCAATGCAGGAGACGCCGGTTTGATTCCTGGGTTGGAAAGATCCACTGGAAAAGCTACCCACTCCAGTATTCTTGGGCTTTTGTGGCTCAGCTGGTAAAGAATCTGCCTGCAATAAGGGAGACCTGGGTTTGATCCCTGGGTTGGGAAGATCCTCTGGAGAAGGGAAAGGCTACCCACTCCAGTATTCTGACCTGGAGAATTCTATGGGCTGTATAGTCCATAGGGTCACAAAGAATTGGACACGACTGAGTGACTTTCACTTTCATGTCTTACACCATATACAAAAAATAACTCAAAATGAATTAATCAAAATATAACAGCTAAAATTATAAAACTTTAGGAAAACAGAAGAAAATATTCATGACCTTGGATTTGGCAATGAATTCTTACATGACACTGAAAGCACATACAACAAAAGAAAAAATAAGACAAACTGGACTTCATAAAAAAATTTAAAAATTTTAATTTTAATTAAAAAATTAAAAAAATTTTTTGCTTCAAAGGACATCAGGAAAATAAAACAAAAACATGTAGAATGGGAGGAAATATTTGCAGTCACAGTCTAATATCCAGAATATACAAAAAAACCTCTTATTTTAAGCTCAACAAAAAAAATACAAATCCAGTTTAAAAATGGACAAAGGATTAAAAAGACATTTCTCTCAAAGAAGAGAAGCAAATGGCCAACCAGCACACAAAAAGATGCTCGATATTATTTGTTACTAGGGAAATGTAAATCAAAAATACAATGAGCTACCACTTCACACCCACTAGGATGGATATAACTAAGAGAGGAAAATAATAAGTATCGGCAGGGAAGTAGAGAAACTGTAACCCTCCTACACTGCTGGTGGGAATGTAAATGGCACAACAGCTGCATAAACAGTTTGGTGGTTCTTCGAAAGTTAAACACAGAACTACCACATGACTCAGCATCTCCACTCCCAGGTATATGTCCAAAAGAATTAAATCAGGTACTCAAACACTTATACATGAATGTTCACAGCAACAGTAACCACAAGAGCCAAAAAGTGTAAACAACCCATGTCCATCAACATGCATAATACATACAATGGAATATTATCCAGACACAGAAAGGAATGAGCTATCAATACTTTCAATCAAATTCCAAGATATTTTATAAAAACTGATGAGGTGATTCTATTCTATAAGTTGAAATGCAAAGACCTAGAAAAGCTAAACAGACTTACACTACTTGATTTCAAGACTAACCATAGAGCTACAGCAATAAAGTCAGTGTAGGATTGGTGAAAAGATAACAATAAATACAGGGAACAGAACAGCATCCAGAAACAAACTCATATATATACTGTCAACAGATTTTCAACAGATGTCAATGCAACTCCAAACATCTTCAACAAATGATACTGGAACAATTAGTGAGCCATGTGGAAAAAAATTAACTTGAAATGGTTTGGAAACCTAATATACAAGTAAAATTCTAATACATATATACACACATATATAAAATATATACTGATATATATTTTATGAATATATGGGATTCCCAGGTGGCTCAGTGGTAAAGAATCCACCTGTCAATGCAGGAGATTCAGGAGACGTGGGCTGGATCCCTGAGTTGGGCAGATTACCTGGAGGAGGCAACGGCAACCTGCTTCAGTATGCTTGCTGGGAAAATCCCAAGGACAAGAGAGGGCCACAGTCTGTGGGGTTGCACAGACTCGGACACAACTGAGCACACACCCACATATATGAATATATACATATATGAATGAAAGTCTTCATGACCTTAGGGTTAGACAAAGATTTCTTAGGTAAGACATGAAGAGCCTAACCCATAGAAATGGTTAATAAAATGGACTTAATCAAAATTAAAAACTGCTTTTTAAAGACACCAGTAAGAAGTCAAATGATGAGGTGCAGAACACGAGAAAATATTCAGTACACATGTATCTATCACATAACACATATCCAAAAATAGGCAAGGAACTATTACAATAAGACAAACAAAAAAATTGGAAAATAGGCAAAAAAACTCTGGACAGATAAGTCAACAAAGAAGATACACATAGTTTTAAAAAAATAATAAAAAGAAAAAAGACATACAAACAAAAATAAGCATATAAAGATGCTCATCATCATTAATCAAGAAGATGTTACAAATAAAACCTGAGATACCACTACACACCTACTAAAATAGCTAAAACAAAAAAGAAGAAAACCCTGGCAATACCTAATGCTGGCAAGGATGTGAAGCAAATGAACACTCTCTCATATTGCTGATGGGAATGCAAAATGGCAAAGCAACTTGGGAAGACACTTTGGCAGTTTCTTAGAAAGTTATACCTACCCTTAACAATACGACCCAGCAATCCCACTCCTACGTATTTATCTAAGTGAACTGCACTCTTACGTTTACACAAAGTGAAGTGAAAGTGAAAGTTGCTCAGTCATGTCTGACTCTTTGAGACCCCATGGACTATACAGTCCATGGGATTCTCCAGGCCAGAATACTGGAGTGGGTAGCCTTTTCCTTCTCCAGTGGATCTTCCCAACCCAGGGATAGAACCCAGGTCTCCTGCATTGCAGACAGATTCTTTACCAGCTGAGCCACAAAGGAAGCCCATCTATAGGCAAATGTTTAAAACAACATTATTCGTAATTGGCAAAAAGCAGAATCAAACCAAATGTTCTTTAACTGGTAAATGAATAAACTGTTATATCCAATACAATGGAATACTATCTAGCAAGATAAAGGAACAAACAAAGTAGAGATATA